GCAGCGAGGCCTGCGACGGCGCGGGGCTCGTGGAGCCGGTTGCTGGGGCGCCGTTGGCGCACGACGCGAAGAGGAGGCCGCGTCCGCTTCGGCTCGACACGGGCACCGGCACCGGCACCTGCACCGGCACCGTCATCAACGCCAACATGCCGTGCCCGGACCCGGGTCCGAGTCCCACCGCCGCGGCCTGACTCGGGCCCAGGCCCAAGTTGTCCGACTGACAGACGGACGAGCCGGTGTAGGGCGTGAGGTGGGCGGCGTAGGCGGTGCCGACCGGCGTCAGTGATTGGCCGACGCCGACGCCGACGCTTTCACACACGCTCAAGTTGCTCGCCGTCATCACCACGTTGCTCAGGCTGGCGAGGTCGCTGTGCAGTTGCGAGGCGCTCGCCGTCGCCGTCGCCGTCGCCGTTGGCATGTGCATGTGCATCGGCATCGGCATCGGCATCGGCGTGGTTGCCGTGACAGCGAGAGCGTCGTGGTAGAGCAGAGGAGTGCATGTGTGTCCGTGGAGCAGGCTGTTGGCGCCGTGGAACGGACTCAACGGCCCGAAGGCGGTGGGTCCAAGTGCGAGTCCCGGCGGCAGCGGGTGGCCGTGCGGCAGCGAAAGGGCCACGGAGACGGGGTTGCCGGGCAGACCGAGTTTCCCGTTGACGTGGTAGTAGGCGGGCGACTGGCGATCGTCCACCTCCAGTTCATCCTCTTCCCCCTCCTCCTCCTCACCCTCCTCCCGCTCGTCTCCGTCGCCGTCGCCGTCGCCGTCGCTTTCGTGTCGCCGTCGGCGGCGTCGTCTGCGGCAGCGGCGGCGCTGATTGGCCGGCGGTGTCTTGTAGCCACGTCGCGGAGCGCGTCGCAACCGGAGGCAGAGGAGCAGAGCTGCGCAACCGAAGAGACCGGCCAGACAACCGAGCAGAGCACAGGCGACGCGATAGACGACCGCCTGCGACGACATCTGCCGCCCGTTCAGACTGGCCTCAGCCAGCGCGGTCGTCAAGACGCCGGTGCGGTTGTCAACGGCGCAGGCGACGGCCGCGGCTCGCGGGCACTGGCGCCGGAAGCAGAGCACATGTTGCGGTCGGATCATGTTGCTCGGTTGCCGCGGGTCGATGAGGTCGAGTCGGACGCGCTGTTGCCCGGCCGACGGACGGAAGACGGCCAGCAGATGCCACTGATCGAGCCGGTCGGAGATAAAGAAGACGCGCTCCTCTCGCGTCAGCAACAGGCCCGACTCTTGCGTCGCGACGTTGTTGCCGACGCCGCCGGCGCGCAACAGGTCGTCGAGGGTGGCCAGGTCAATCATGCTGGCGGCGAGGCGGGCGTCGACGCGACCGACGTCGCTGACGCCGCCGCCGCCAGCGCCCAGCTGGTGGGAGCGCTTGGAGACGTCGCCGTTGTCCAGCTCGAGGCGAGTGCAGGCGGCCGCGTGGCCGTAGACGTCGAATGTCGACGCGTCGGGCGGCGCGAGCCAAGCGAAAGTGATGCTGCACTCGCCGATTTGACGCAACTCGGCCCGGTTGAGAATGCGATAGACACCGTCGAAGAAGCCGCCGCGCATCGACACCGACGACGACGTCGACGACAACGTCGATGACAACGTCGATGACAACGTCGGCGAGGATGGAGAAGCGGCTGAAAACGGGGCGACGGCGAGAAGGAGAATGACGAGAGCGCGGCGACTGGCGGCGACAAGAGGGAGCGGATTGAGCCGTCGCATGGTCCGGCAGCAAAGGGGAGGGTGGGCATCAGGATTGGCCGTGGAGGGGGCAAGCCCGTGGCTCCGGGCCTGCGAGGGTGTAGGGGCCGGGCGGCATCTGCCGCGACGGGACGAGGCGGTGCATGTTGGCGAGACGAGACGAGACGAGACGAGACGAAGCGAGAGGCGACTGGCGACCGAGTGCCGGAGGCAAAATGGCCAGACTGGAATGAGGCCGCTTGCGAAATCACCCCAACCCGTGAGAGAGAGAGAGAGAGATGGAGAAAGAGTGTGCAACGCGCCGGCGATTGGGCCGGTCCGGAGTTCAGCCGGTCGTCTGATTGGTCGTCAGTCGGCTTGCTGGCTGCTGATTGGTCGGTTGGAGAGGGCGAGCAGTGCACCAATCAGATTGATGCTGTGTCGGTTGCCTCACTCGGACCGCCCGCCTGGTCGGACCGAGGCGACTGAGTGGACCGGCCGACCGACCGACCGACCGCCGCGCTTGTGTGTGTGAGTCACAGTTTGATGTGCTGGCAAAAGTCAAAGGCTGCCGGCCACAAACGGGCCGATCGGCGCGCTGATACGCCACCACAGACAGACGTCGACACACACTCACTGGTGCACGGACAGACGGACAGACCGACCGATGCACCAGCCTGCACAGGCACACCAACACACTCGCCTCGTGCACGTCATCCTCGTCAGGTGTGAATGCAGCAAAGTGGCGTCATTCTTGCTCCACCGGCCAGCGGGATCGTCACCGCTCCGCCTCATTTCGCCACTTTTACCGCAACAGCCGTTCAGCCGACTTGGCCCTGTCAACGCAACAACTCAAGTTATGGCACTACT